ACTTGTTTGGCTTCTGGGATTCTTAGTACAGCCTGGCCTCTAGTGTGGCAGAATTTTTCTGCTAGAGCTGGGGTTCCTATATCTGGCCTAGCATCTGGTAAAGCAGAAGTCTTCTTCTGAAGTTATAGGCCAGATTATGGATTTCAGGTGAGAGGGTGCAGTCTGGGGTTGTTGGGTGCGCTTAAAGGGGTTTAGTGGGTGGTGGGTGGTGTCTTACCTAGGGTCCCTAGGACCAGCCTTGCCTTGGTAAAGCTGCCAGTGCTGTGGGCTGGAGTCTTGTCCTTTGTTCCTATTATTTAATGCAGTTCATTTATTCAGCTTTCTTCTCTACACTGTAAGCTTGGCAATGCCCTTCTGCGAGTCTTGTTTTTCTCCTGTTAAATTTGGGGATTGAAGGGGGCATTACCTTGGAGAGGTCACTGTTAACATGTGGTCTAGAACTTTGCCTTTCCCCGTCCTCTTGTTCTTTATTCCTCATGTCATTGATTCTCAGTAACATATTCCTAATCTCTTGCACCTGCCCCCTTTTTGATTTACAAAATTGCTGTTTTTGTATTATATTGCCTAGACATGTTTTGCATTAGAATTATCAGTCCTAAAGCACAGAGGAATGGATCCCTACTCTCATCCCCTGCTGAGTTTTTGATACATTAATTTGGGGAGTAGAAGAACACATATTTATAACCAGCTGCCTGTTGCTGCTCCTGCTGCTGTTGTTACTGATGTTGTTGTTGATGATGATGATGATCAGGGAGAGCCGCTGATTTTCACAATGTTACCAAAGATGAGAAGGTGATCATTGGCCCACTTACCTGCAGTTATTGTTTTTGGCGCCCCCTATTGGTTGCAGGGTTCACCTTTGCTCAGATAGTACCCAGAAGTCAAAGGCTATCTCTGGAGACCCTGGCTAGTCCTTATGCTTTCTGAATCTGGTAGCTGTGTGGACTGTAATCTAGAACCAGGTGAGGTCAGATAAGATGCTCAGGAAGAAAGTTCTTCCAGACGTCATTTTGGACCATCTTCTGTGCTTACCAACTTGGACCTAATCTACTCCTCTTTTCACTGTGCTCTTGACAGTTTCATTCTATGGAGTCAACCATTCTCCTCTGGTTCTGCAGATGATGCAGGTACAGGGACACTGGCAGCATCCTCTGGGAATTTGGCATCATGCCATGCATCCTAAAAGTTTTCAGCTTCAGTGTTCCCTATAAGAGCTCACCTCAGTTTTAAATACATTGTATTGTTTGTTTCATGCCTTGACTGTACCTTACAGTTTGAAATTTTGATGCATGTGAGGCATAACAATTGCAGACTATGACAGTATTTCTCACATAACTACAATTAACTCAGTTCTTTCCTCCTCTTTGACATTTGAAGTTTCTGCCATTGTTCCAGTATTATCCATAGCATTAAATACATTGTTTTCACTGCTGTGAAAATATTATTAGTGACTTCTTTCCCAATTGTCCTCTTTAAAAATAAATCCCCCATTATTTGAAAGAGTTAATGTGGCTTCCAGAAGTGCTTGGCATTCTGGAAGAACCAGGCTCCTTGTGTCTGATTCATTTTCTGTGTGGGAGGTGTGCAGTTCTAACCTTGTCACTGACAGGAAAGTTCAGACTCTTCTCAAACTGCAGAGAAGTCTGTCCTTGCAGCTTTCTGGGACTGAAGCATAGCAGTCAGACAATGATTATATATGCTCCTCCGTCAACATGCTGGTGCTTGATAGTACCATGCCTGCCTTGGATTGGGGAACTTGCAATTTCTTTTCTTCATCCAGACTGTCTTAAACAGATAAGGTGATTTTAGTTTTTAGATACATTGATTGCAATTTGGTAAGCAGCATCTGAAAATAGTTTAATGAGTCATCACAGGAGGAAAGGAAGGAAAGTTTGATTTTTAAAGGAGGGTGCTGGTTGATGCCAGCTTTTCCTGTAGGTCAGTGCATCCACCACACTGGAGGGAAGCACATTACACTTTGCCTTTCTGTTCCTGTTTGTCTTTGCATATGGTGTGGTTTCAGATTTTACTTACTCTCTCTGCTTCAGGTCCAGCTGTCCTTTCCAACCACCCACTCTGCCAAGCGACAGATATTGGGACAAATAGAAGTTGTAGAGACAAGAACCCTAAGTGGAATACCTCACAGGATTTCATAATTATGCAAGGGCTGGTTCTTCTAAGCAATCTGTATGAGTAAAAACAATTAAAATGACAAAAAAGATATTAACATTCGTTTAAGCCAGGCTCCTACCCACAAGCAAACCTCATCTATGATGTACAAATGGGGATAATTTCTTCTTGAATTCTGTCTATACCTGGAAGATCTTTATCTCATCAGAGAGCTCATTTATTCTTAGAGAGTTATAATGAAATATTTTACTGGGTACACTTGTGGACATCTGTAATCCAGGCACTCAGGAGGCAGAAGTATCATTAATTCAAGGCCAGACTGGGATATATGCAAGATTCTGTCTTTAAAAGAATCCCATTTTATCTTTTTTTGCATTCATTGTCTTCTTTGGAAATCAAAGTATACTATTATGTGAAATTTCTTTGTGTTATAATTAGAGACATATATATTCTCAATATATATGTCTTATTCTAGAGTTCATTTGATGAAACATGGTGCCATCATTTATGAGAGTTACATTTAAATTGGTCATTTCATTAGATTCTGTCACAGACTATGTGTCTTTAATAGGAATATAGTTTGTAAAAATAGACAAGCTTATCATTTCCATAAGACTGAATGCATGATTGCAGCATGAATCTTGTCAATGAAATTGAGAGAAAGACAAATTAGAAAAAATATTTTCAATATACTATACATAGAACAAAAGATAGTGTTGGGCCTGAGGGTTTTGTTTTTTATTATTAAGAGATTTCTATTCATTTTACATATCAACCACGGATTCCCCTGTCCACCCTCTTTCCACCCCCCAGTCTTCACCCTCACCCCACCCCCACCCCCATTCCCACCTTCTCCAAGGCAAGGTCTCCCCTGGGGAGTCAGCAGAGCCTGGTACATTCAGTTGAGGTAGGTCCAATCCCCTCCTCCCTGCACCAAGGCTGAGCAAATTGTCTCAGCATAGGCACTAGGTTCCAAAATGCCAGCTCATGTACTAAGGACAGGTCCTGGTTTCACTGTTTGGGGGCCCCCTAAACAGTTCAAGCTAAACAACTGTCTCACTTATCCAGAGGACCTAGTTCAGTTCCATGGGGGTTCTTCAGCTATTGGTTCACAGTTCATGTGTTTCCACTAGTTTGGCTAGTTGTCTCTGTACTTTTTTCAGTCATGGTCTCGATATCTCTTGCTCATATGATCCCTCCTCTCTCTCGTTGATTGGACTCCTGGAGCTCCGCCTGGGGCTTGGCCATGGATCTCCACATCTGCTTTCATCAGTCACTGGATGAGAGTTCTATCATGACAGTTATGGTGTTTGGCCATCTGATCACCAGTGTAGGTCAGCTCAGGCACCCTCTCAACCATTGCCAGTAGTCTATAGTGGAGTCATCTTTGTGGATTCCTGGGGACCTCTCTAGCACACTAATTTTTCCTATTCCCATGGTGTCTTCATTTATCGTGGTATCTCTTTCCTTGTTCTCTCTCTCTGTTCCTGATCCAGCTAGGACCTCCTGCTCCCCTAAGCTCTCTTTCCCCTGACCCTTGCCCTCCATTACTCCCTCTCCCCCAGTTTGCTCATGTAGATCTCATCCATTTCTTCATTGCTGGGTGATCCCTGTGTCTTTCCTAGGGCCCTCTTTACTAGCTAGCCTCTCTGGAGCTGTGAGTTGTAGTCTGGGCCTGAGGTTTTTTTATACCTTCTATATATACAACTGGCTGACCACACCGAACTCACCTCCACCATCTGAGCATCATCTGTAATTTGAAAGATTACTTAAAAAAAACTTTTCTAGTTCTAACTCTATATAGAAAATTGTTTTGATAATTTTGATCACTTTAGTGAATACAATTTATCTTTTTATCAGAAAACAATTATTTAGTATTTAATGCTATTTCTTATTCAAGTTATCTAGAGTCAATGCAGCAATCCTCTAAAGATATAAGCCCTATGGAGCTACAAAGATGGCTCAATGGGTAAAAGTGGTTGTTGAACATGCATGATGGACCTGAGTTCAACTCCCCAGAATTCATGTAAAGCTGGATCAATAGAGTAAGTGCCCGTAATCTTAGTGTTATTCCTGGGGAGATAGAGACAGGAGACTCTCTGGAAGAACATGGGTGTATGAAGCAGAAAAACGGTGAAGAGACCCTGTTTGAAACAAGATGGAAAACAAAGAACTAATATCTGAGTGTGTCCATTGATCTTCACACACTTACTATGGCATATGAGCCCTTGTATTCACAGCCATGGAGGCATGAGTGCACACACACACACACACACACACACACACACACACACGCACGCACACGCACCCACCACACACACACACACACACACACACACACACACACACACACACACTTACTGTGGAGCCCCTGCTTTCACAGCCATGGAGGCATGCATGTGCGCGCGCACACACACACACACACACACACACACACACACACACACACACAGTATGTTACATACTTTGCATTTGGTCTTTTTATATGAACTTTAAATTTTAAGTGATCAAATTTATATATAAAATGTACAAAGGCACACACTATACACACGTTTCCCGCAGTGGATAATATACTTCCATGTGTTTTTCTGCTTTTGTCAAGTGTGTATCCATAAAGAATACATTTTTCAGTCTTGCCCATTTGGATCTTAGTTTCATACTATTATGTTTTCTAGGTTCTATGTATGGCTGGTTTTGCTCAACCTTATGTTTGTGGGATATGTCCATAAGGATGGGGGTAATGTGGCTGCTCATTTATGTTTACAATGTAATGCATGTATATATTGTAATCAATTCAATTCACTGTTGATACACCATTAGATTATTTCTAGTTTTGGAGTTTTTGCTTGTTTTCCTTTCATCTATTACAGACAATGCTGCTAGGGACATTTTTTCTGTTGTCAAATGGTTTGCAGAGGCAAGAGCTCTCTTCTGTGTGAGTCCAAACCTGAAGGTGCTGCATAGTAAGGTATGTGAGTTTTCAACAGTAGTGAGTCAAGCCCCAACATCCTGAAATAGATTATATCATAACACACAAATGCTCCCCTCACTTTCTACCCAAGCACATAGTTGGTTTTGTCAGGTGTTTCACATTTTACAGCTGGATGATATGTCTTGTACTTCATGGTGTTTTTTAATGCAAATTCAGTTACTAAAAATCTGCACATTTCCAATTATTTGCTAACCTTTTATCCCCTCTCCTCCCCCACCTTCCCCCTCCTCCTTCCCCCTCCTCCCACTCCTCCCCTTTCTTCTCCTCCTCCTCCTCCTCCTCCCCCTCCTCCTTCTCTTCTCTTTGAGACAGGATTTCAAGTAGCTCAGGATCGCCTCAAGCTCACTATGTAGTGGAACTAGACCTTGAACATCTGGTTCTTTTGCCTCTGAATTCTGATTACAGACTTGCATCACTGTATTTGACTAAAGATTGATTTTTTTCAGATTATTTTATTTATTTATTTATTATGTATTTTTATTTTATGTGTATGGATGTGTTGCCTGCATGTATGTCTCTGTTAATCACGTGTGTGCATATATACAGTACTCATGGAGGCTAGAATAGAGCATCAGATCCTCTGGGACTGGACTTAGAGATGGTTGTGAGCTTCCATGTGGATGCTGGGAATAGAACCCAGGTCCTCTGAAGAGTAGCCAGTGCTTTTAAATACTGAGCCATGTCTCCAGTCTGCTCCCCAATTAATGTTCTTGATGTTGGAATTTATTTTTTAAGTATTATAAATATCTTTTGCTAACAGAATTTTTACTATATTAATATTTTAGTAAAATATATTCTTGATTTTAGTGTAATAAAATGCATCAACTTTTTGTTTCTAGTCAGTACATTTGGAATATTGGATCCTGTTTAAAAATGTCTTCTTCACTCTGAAGGCATACAAAATATGCTTTTCAAAAATTTTTGAAAATGCTTATGGCTTTGCCTTCAATTACAAAATAGTTGCAAATATCATACGTATTATATATGGGAAAGTGAAAATATTAAACATTAAAAGAAAATAGCCAGTGCTTTTTTCTAAACAAGGTATTTGGCATTTGTGGAAGATAGGAGACTTTTCTGTATGCTGTTTAAAATTGCACAGAAATTACAATGTATTATAAATTATAACATATTTATGAGGTTTCCAGACATTGAAAAATTTTATTCTTTTAAATTTTATTTTATATATCATCATTGTGTATGTGTGTATATGTGTGTGTGGATGTGCCTGTGCCTCCATGCATATGTGTGAGATAGAAGACAACTCTGACATTAATGTATGAGGCCAGCTCTGACCTGTCAAAGGGTTCTTGGGGGGAGGAGTGAGGAATGAGAAAATATTAGATAGAAATATAGACAGAGACAACAAGAAAGATAGAGACACAGGATAGCTTTGGGAGGGCCCTGGGTCAATACCCAGCCACCCCGACTTTATACATAATAGGCCTTTTACACATTAGCAAGGGGAAAGGAAAAAGACCTCCCCCTTCCAAGGTCGAAGTATCAACAAGTGTAGACCTTTCAAAATACCTGTTACCCATGCCTTTGGGCAAATCATCCTATTATGCAGCCCTGCTGGGCAGAGCAAACTTAGACTTTCTGACCTTGAGTAAAGCCTTACCAGGGAGTCTCTGTGGGCCCCCATACATTAGTTCCTTCCTTCTAACCTTAGTGAATTCTGGGGATCAAAGTTGGGCTCCCAAGTTTGTGTGTCAAGTACTTTTACCCACTGAGTGATTTCTCTGGCCTAGGTCCAGACTGTTTTTTTTTTTGTGTGTGTGTTTCTGTAGTGCTAGAGAATGGTATTTTCAAATGATGAGAATAGCTTCTCTGAACCTTCCAGAACATTTAGACATCCCTAAGTCAGGTACACACTTTGTGCAGCCATAATGAAATCCAGAACACTGGACAATGATTAATTTTAATCTTTCTATTAAGGTGACAATAAATGCTCTTCCCTTAGGATAGTAAGTAGGCCCTTTTAGTTTCATGGAAGCATGAATGAAAGAGTTGGGTATGGTCTTATCATTTGTTGTTATGTCGAAGAAAACTTTGCCTAATTCAGCATGACATATATTTTCTCCTCAACTTTATTCACATAGTTTTAAAACGAGTCTGTGATCCATTTTGATTCTTTTTGTGTAGGATCTAAAGAATGGGGTCTAGCTCATTCTTGTGAAAGTGGATATCCAGTTAGTCTAGGACCATTTATTGGAACAATGGTTCTTCACTGATTTATCTGGCATTCTTGTTGAAATAAGTGGATTTTAACTGTAAGCGTTCATTTCTTCACTTTCTCTTCCAGTAATTACTTTAGTTTTTTAAATAGTAATTGTAAGTCCACTAATTTCTTAGTTTCTTTGCTTCTCTTCCTCCTTCTCTTGAGGGGTGGGGAGTATATATTGGAGATCAAACTCAAGCATTTGCCATGCCAGGCAAGTATAGATACCCCTTTCATATTAATAGTAGTATATGCTCTAGAATTCTCATGGAAATATTAGCAAGGATTTTAAAATAGATGGTATTGAATCTATCGATCAATTTGGAGATTATTGCCCTTTTATAATATTAAACTTTATGTTTAGTAAGTATTAGTAATTAGTAATAGAATTAATTCTTTAATTCATCTCAACAATGTTTTGTAACTTTTAGGGTTTAAATTTGTACTTCTGTTAAATCTTTTCGTAATTTATTTTGTTGCATATTTATTATAAGCCAAAGTACTTGGCTTTACTTTCTCCTCTTTCCTTTCTTCCTTCCTCCCTCCCTCTCTCTCTTTTTCTTTCTTTCTCTCTCTTTCCCTTTCTTTCTTTCTTTCTTTCTTTCTTTCTTTCTTTCTTTCTTTCTTTCTTTCTTTCTTTCTTTCTGTCTTGACAGAGTCTCTCAATGTCACACAGGGTGTCCTTGAACAGATGTAGGTTACCATGCTTGGTATAAATAGAATATTTTACTAACTTCACTTTTGTATTTTTTTTTTCATTTTTAGTTTATGTAAGTATAATTGATTCTCTAAGACAAGTTCTTATCATGTAGCCCAGGTTAGCCTTCAAGTCACTATATACATCAGGCTGGCCTCAGTCTCTTAGTTGTCTTGACTCAGCTTCCTTAGTATTGGGATTATAGGTGTGCATCATATTGCCTGGCTGTGTAATACTTTTCTAACTTAACTTCTGTTTTCTGTCTGTCCTGCTGTCTTTCTGTTGTCTGGGTCATTTCTGAGTCTGCCTTACCTACCCACCCAAGTAAGCACCCTGAGTCAGATCTCCTGTGAACCAAGCCTATGCCAATTATGTAGAACTAATAATGGGGGCCTAGGCTAAGTACTATATTTAAAAGGCGTTGGGAGCCTTATGGGTGAAATTCAGACCTAAGAAGCCAGAAGGCTGAGCAGACATACACTCTAGGAGTTCTGCTTACTGGTGAGTTCAAAGGTGGATTCTTACAGTCTCATTTAGAGTCTTTTCATTGAAGGGGATTAATTTTATTCATTTTATAATGAAGACCCTAGGATCTCACGAACTTTAGATCAGGAAACATCAGCTTTGGGGAATTATTATTGCCCATGAATTCATTAGGAACAGCTGTGCCCCATCACCTCCTGTTAGTAAGCCTGCTGGGAAACTTTTTCTAAAGTTTGCAAAGGAGACTCAGACATAACCATTAGTGTGCGAGCTGTGTGGTACAGGAGCCGGATCTGCTTCACATCTACTCAGGCACAGTGAGAAATTCTCGGTAGTTATGTGGTTTGGAAATATTTGTGAGAAATTATAGTTCAGCTCCATGAATTTGTATCTAGATGTGTGGAGCACTACAGTACTTTTGTGTACCATATAGATGAAAAAAATCAATGGCCGCATGATCCACACTTTCCTCATTATACTGTTGCTGCAGAACTTAGCAGAAAAAGCAGTAAGTATTTTTTCAGCTTTCTTAAAACTGAGAAATTAAATTAAAGCTGATGAGCTTTCTACCTTCTCTGGACATGCTGAAGTACACTTTTCCTAAATTAAATGAGAAACCCTTGTGTTTAGAAAACTTGCTTTCATTGCGGTGAGTTAGTATTTTAGCTATGGTTTCTTTACTTTCTTAACAGAGAGGCTTATTTAGGTAAATTCTTCCAGATGGCTTAAAACTGTTTTCCTTTCTCATAGTTTGATAAGATAATTTCTCATTAGACAAATTGTGTGTGGGGGAGAAGGAAGGTAAAGAGATGGAGGAGGGAGGGAGAGTTATTAATCCCTTCTAGGTTGTAGGTCTGTCTTCTCTAGATATTTATATGGTAGGTTTTCTCTCCCTTCCTTCAGTCAACTTAGAATGGAGAAAAAACATACAAGCCCATTTCCCTGCCCAGTAAAGGATGTGCTGTTCTGGACATTTGCCAGGGTCTGGTCTGGCTGGTTCAATTTCTGGCCTCTTTGTTGCTTCTCTGAAAAATCGCTTTCTCTTATTCTGTTCACATCTCTCTTTACTTTCAGCTTTTCCTATTTTAGTCAGAGACAAAATGTGCTGCCCTGGCTCTATCCTTCTGTGTGGATAGTATAGTGCATGCATTCAATCAACCCTGTGTACTTGACATCCAAGGCTATTTAGTACTTGGTTAAAATGCTGTCTAGTTAGCTACTTTTTGTAACTTGGGGGATTGGATGTAGGGCCTTGCACATAATAGGTGAGAACTGAGCTGTGTACCCAGTGCCCTTCGTTACTTGTTATTCTGAGTCAGGACTCTGCTAAGCTAGCCAGGATGGCTAGGGCTGATTGATAACGGTATACATCAGGCTCCAGGGAAGCTGGAATCACAGTGTGTATCCTCAGCCCAGCCCACATAGCTTTAGATTTAGAACATATGTTTAATTATGAGTTTTTTCCTATGCCAGTCATTCAAAGGTAATATTTTTAAATTACATAAATTAAGGAGTTTCAGTAGAATGTCTGTTAAACAAAGTGTTATAGTTTTTCTTTTTTTTTTTTGTGGGGGG